CCAAATAATGATAGTAGCGAAACGTAAGCGAAAATTCTTTCTTTCGAGAATTCTTTTAAGTCAATATATAAGGAAAATATTCCTTACATATTGACTTAAATTTGACATGGATCTATCCATCCATACAGCTAAATCAAGTCAAATTCCCGAAAATTTCGCACTTTCCACTCAAACAATGTTCTTTGGAATCATTAAGCGCATTAGAGCTATCCCAAAATACGATCACCCATTTAAAGAAAAAGCAATGAAACAACAATGTCGAACCTTGATAGTTTTGTTTTGTAATCTGAGTCCATTTAGGGTGCTGACCGCCTTAAGGGCATCCTCTTGCCGTATATAGTTAACAAAACCATAACCAAGGCTTTGACCTAAAACACAAAAAACAAAATCAAAAACAACGAACAAAACCAAAAAACGCAAATCAAATAATCTTTTTGAAAAGAAAAAAGAAAAGACGACTTGAAAATATAAATGAAATCAAGAAGAAATATAACGACAATAATAACACCAACAATAACGTCAACAACAGAGTTCAGTAAACGAACTTCTGAAAGTGTGGAAGTTAATCAAAATCATAATACAAAACAGCAACCATATGATAGCAACAATCAGATTTCTAATGATAACAATTATGATAATATTAATAGTAATTAATATGGTGATAATTTTAATAATAGTGGTAATAATTATAATAATAAGAGTAATAATAATAATGGAAACGATCGAAATGAAAAACGAGGAACAGGTTAAAAAAGGAACGAACAATCGATTATAAAAGTTTGAAGCAAAACTCGAAGAAAGTTCAGAAATGAAAAAATGGAACACAGCTGCATATTACAAAACTTATTTGAAACAAACTTTGAAAATTTCACACATGCTCGTTCAATGCTATTATGGTGCTATTATACTAAATATAGTAAATGAGTAGTGTCTTCATGGATCTACAAAAATACTTTTCCCTTCTACAATCTCAATAGTTCTTATAAATCCTGAATGTATCTCAAAAGATGAATTCAGGACTATCAGCAAATGAATTGAATGCTTGGCGAAATAATATTTCCAGGAGTTATAATCTTACAACGATATGCGATTGTGATAGAGTTTTGGTCACTTGGATGACCACAAGCCTTATATTGATGGTCACAAATTAGTGCGTCTTAATCATAAATATTCCCAAATTTTTGTGGTATGCATATTCACTGGCATTATCTTTCGTACGGGCTGGCAGTTGATAGAGTTCTCTGAAGCGGAAGGAGGGAGAGCTGATTGCTTTGATGCGGTACGAGCTAATATTCTTGAATTCATCTCAGACTTGTTTAGGTCGAAACACTATTGTTACTTTATTATTAATATTAATTATCATCAATCGGTAGAATTGAAAAAAATTGACATATTTTCAATCACTGCATAGAATGTTTTCAGTAAAAGAATATAGATTTATTTTTGAATGAANTAACTCTGAAAGGAGTTACTTCTTTTGAATGCGCCCCTCTCATCTCAACTGCATCATATGTATCTGGTTTGTCACAAAATTGCTCGTTGCTGCAGTCGTTATGTTTTCGGATTTCAAATTGAAAACCATCGTCTCCATGCTTACAAATGAGATACTTTAGTGTGTGACTGTTTGTGAGTGCCTTCCAAGAATGGCAATTGAAAACGATTTACTGCTCTACGCTCTTTCAAAGGCATCACCTTTCATGAGAAGAGTGGCTACTTAAGGAATCCTAAAAATATTTATTGTTTTCAAAAAAATTGATTCTTTTTACAAATTCCATGAATTGTGGAATTCGTTACGATTGCTTTCTATTTTCGTAAATAACCGTCGAATGGTCACCTAGCACACCATCAAGAGGACAGTGAATGGAGCATACGAAGGTGATAACCAACCCCACTATTCTAGTTCATTCTCTCCTACTTTCATAAATTTCACATAAAATCATCGGTAAATCAAGGCAAATAATTTTTCTCTAACCCATGAAAAGACCCATTAGTAAAAATTATTCGTCACATGAGAATGTGCAAGGCAAGCAATTGCAATTTCTGGAATGGTTACCGTCTGCACAGCTGGCGAGACTGACTAAAAAATACGTCAAAAATGCGATCGATGCATCGTCAAAAGGTGATTCCATCTCATAAAAGCCATAAATCATGAGCATTGAATGCTTTGTTGAAAAGAAAATGAAATGGAAAGGAACGAAAATTGGGAATTTGATAGAACATAATTAAATTATTTTCGCATTCTCTTCCAAGTCAATAAAAGAATAAGAAATTGAAGAAGAAATGATGAAAGCGGAATAATAGAACTGGTTATTTTTGTTTTTGTGAATTGTTCATATAGAAAATTCTAAAAGTTATTGTACAATTAGTGCATTTATTAGAAGCGATAATAAGAGATAACGGAAAATTATTGCAAATCTGAAAAAAATTCTATGAATTCAAAGAGCAATTCAATAGAAAACCAATCAATTTATAACATTCATTCTCTTTCAGTCAATGAGAAGGAATGTAAAAACAAAAAGCAAACGAATCTAATCAACACGACTTCAGTCGCAATTATCCCCTTCATATCCTCTTTAATCCCCAGAATTGCTCGAGATTTGTGCCTTTTCAATAGAAACATTCTGTTTATATTATTCGTAAATTTAAGAATGCCATCATCGAGAAAAATTCTCCACTATCAGTTTTTCATTTAAACAGCAAATTCTCTCCTCATATTCCCCAAGAAACATTTTTCCACGAAGAATTCTCAATTTTCACAAAAGAACACATTCTTTTTCCCTCGGGACAAAGTCAATCTTCCCTGACCATTTCAACGAATTCATTCATTTTGCATATAACATTCTTCTCTATTTCAAATTTATTCACCACAAAAAAGACACTCCAAAATCTATTCCATGCATAAATAATGCACTCCTCGTTTATATACAGTCGAATATATGACCATTTCAAGTCACACCAAACTAAACTCGATGAATGCATGAAAAATGATAACACTTCAATGCACAATTCCGCCAAAAAACCTTCAGAGATACAAATCAGATCAAGAATTCATATATTTTCATTTACTGATCGCATGATTGCACTGATAATTCAGAACATACTACTCGATGCGTAAATGCATTAACTTTCCAATCACTAAATCGCACAAGAAATCAACTGAGCCGTATGTAAATTGAATTTTAATATCCGTTAAAAATATAATTTTGTGTTCTGGAAAGAAATTGAAACGATTAAATTATGACGGTCCATAATGCACTTAAGCTCAGCGTATGAGAGCCTACCGTTAAACTCTTCAAGTTAAACTAATGGATAACTGACGTAACCGAACAAATTCGAACACATTTCTTTTCCACTTCAGCTGGTCATAAGCCCAAAACTTTTACTTTACTGCATACTTGCTATCCACTGAAACCATCCATCCATCCCTTGGATAACTAAAGTGAATTTTTGAATCGCATTACTCCATTACTTCTATTCGTATTGAACTGCTACACGTAATATACATTATCGATAATAGCTTTTTCAAGTTTCATATATCTCATATGCAAGGATCGATGTACTTTTTGAGGTGATCATTTAAACTGCTTCCAAAAAAACACACTCATGTAACCACGATCTTATCTTGATTTCATTGTCCACGATAAAAATAAATCAATGAACATCTTCCCGACAAAAAAAAATCCATCTTTCTAGCTCATCCCCCCCAAAAAAGATTTCACCATTTCATTTTATTCCACCAAAAAAAACTCCTTTTTCTATCCGATTCAAGAACTATTCTTCTATCTCTTTCTTTTGTGCATTTTCAGAATTTTTTTTCTCGAAACGCCAACCACCTAGAGCACATATTTCATCAGTTCATTTCGCATGCATTCAAATGTAATCCTCCTCGAGTANACCCCATCATTCAATGGCAATCATCAATAATTCCACCACCACAAAACAATCCATTTTAATCGCCCCTCTGAAACTATCTTATTCTCCATGCGATTCATTAACATATCCCCCTCCCAAGTCAGTTGAATCGAATCGCACTCTCGGAACCTATTGCAATTCCTTTCATTTCATATTTCCACATAACTCACAAACAGATGCAATTTTCACATCAAATTGTCTACCCATCATCCAAAATCCGTCACCGCATTCAACAATAGATTATTATTTCACAAATAATGGCAATAAAATAGTTCACAATTCATAATTCGGCCCACAAAAACGTTTCATTAAAAATTTTCCATATTGAACTCTGCTCAAATAGACAGCCGTAAATAAACTCCCTCCATCCCTATTCACTCAATCGACAAATATACGAATAATGCTCCACGAAAAACCAGTTTACAGAATGATCCATGCATTCAGATGAATTGATTGAGGCATGACTGGACTGTAATTGTCATCTGACATATTACCAACCAATAATGTAACTTTGAAGTTGGCTATGAATAAAGGTAATGTTGTGCATTACATAGGTACTCGCTTCAAATTGCCATATTTCAAATTCAACATCTGGTGCTCTAAGTAATTCTAATAAAAAAGAATCTATCAATCTGTTCAAGTGGTAAACAATCTGTACTTCGATCAAACCAAACAATAAAAGCTAATCACATTAATAAAATATTATGACTTAACATCAAACGTCCCATAATCTGACATAATTCATATAAACAAAGTCATAAAATAACATTTCCACTATCTCATTAACCCAAAAAATATGATCCTTTATAATCTACAATTCAAGTATCGCAAATACCCAACCAATAAATTATAAATGAGTGGATATATAATTCATGAAAAATTGTAAAGCTATGGTACCAAACAAAGCTATTAAATGCTATAGACTATCTTTAAGATTAATATTAGTAGAATTCAATATCCTTACAGAGGAAATATTTTCATTTCATCGAATCTCAAGGATGGCATTCAAGCCTTCATATCTATGAAGGCTTGTTCTT